TTTTAATAAACTATTGTTTCATTTTTTTGTATTAGTAGACAGTTATTTAACCTTATCACCTACAATTTATAATTTTTTATTTTTTTTTCATATAACATATTTGCTATTGTTCATTTTAGATAGGAAAAGTTTATAAAATTGTTGCATTAATAATTTTCGTTATGCAGAAACGATGCAGCATCTGTTGCAGTTTCTACAAAAAATGCACATTTTCATTTCATTTTGTAAACAATGAGTTATAAAAGAAAGAAAACAAAGTTTATTGACATATACCTACTCTATAATATTGCATATATATGTACTTTATGCAATTTATATCTATTTATATGTATATATTGTGTGTTTTAAGTTAATAAAAAATGAGGTCAATCGCTTGACTTCTATCGCAAACGGAATGAGTTGCATATATTTAAATAAAATTCTATAAGTGAATGCAGCTTGTCAAAACCAAGTGTCTTAACATAATAATTTTTACAATGTTGATTGCTTTAACATTAAAACTAATAGAACTTAACTCAATCAATTTTATTTAATCTTAGTTTTGAAAAGTTTAAAAATATTTTTTAAATTTGTAAACTGCTGCCGCTTGATCATCTTAAACTATTTATTTTGGTTTTTACTTAGTTTACTTGTAAACCTTGCATACGTTCGAAATGTTTTAACAATTTTTTAGAGATTAAAAATTGTTTTTCACAAAGTTTAATCTGTAAAAAAAAACGTCATAAATAAATAAAACCTCATATTAATTTTGCACATGGACAAACATTGTCGCAGTCGTCACCATAACAAAGTCTATCATTATGATCTGAATTTTAAATATCATATAAAATACAAGAAAAAACCAATATTTCAACATTTCAACATTTAACGTCTTTTAAATTATTTAATAATGCTACAAAATTGTTTTTTTTTGTTAGTATTTTATTGCACAAAAATGCGTACTTTGTTTTTTGTTTTTTTTTGCATCGTGTATATCGCAGTACAAAAATGCTTTTGCGAAATATTTATTTTTTTTTAAATTTTACTGTAATAACTTTAATTGAGTGTGAACTACTAAACTGAGGTTGATTAGCTGTTTGTAAACTTCATAAAACAAAAAAAAAAAAAAATCGGGCTGAAATCAGATTAAAATCGAATTAAACTGAAGAGTATTTTACTATAAAGTCGGTTTACTGTGAAAGTACTATAACATTAATATTAATGCAAATACGTACTAAATTATAATGTCATTTTAACAGTTTTATTAATGTAATAAGCAAATATAAAAAAAAAAAACATATATACTGAATTCCATTGAACCTAGTGAAAAGGCTAAAAATACTTCTTACATTTTTAATAATGTAATAATGTTTTTGGTCCAAATTTGTATATATATATATATATGTTACCCTGAAAACAGCTAGAACGCGTTGTGGTAAAAGAAGAATGCCACAAGACGTTATGATTAGTAACCAAGCGATTTATTACAACAGTATAGCAATATTATGTACTATATTACATTTTAGTATCTAAGAACTGTGTGCTATTAAAAAAAATTAATACTTTAACATGTACTATATGTACAATGCTATAAAACCAAAAATGAATATATAGAAATACACATTGATAGATGAAAATAGTGACTATCGGTGTAGATAAAGTCTAAATATCTTCTTAATTGTTCGTCACTTAAGGGTTACATTAGATGCTATCAAAAACGCATTGTGACATTTCTCTATTTTCACAATGCGTTCTGGTTGTTTTTATAAGTACCATAAAACGAAATTCGTTTTGTTTCCCACAATGTATCGTACGTTTTTTTCGCTCACTGAGCATTTTTGGCTTTAGAGTCTCACATATATGATATTTGTATTATCCTGTGTGATTTATTGTAATTTCTTTCGTTCTGGTATGTAATTATCAATTTATTGTCCATGCAACTCTAGAATTGCAACTCATTTATGGTGTTGCTAATCTAATTCTCTCAATTTCTCAATGTTTATTACGTTATCAATTTTATTTATTTTCTATTTCTTATCTCTGCACTTTTCCTAACGTGATTTAAATAAATGCTTTTTTGTGTTAGCATAGATTTTTTAAATAACAAATAAAAATTTCGGTATTTTTTATACCAGAAATGTAAATGCCATTAAAATTTGCTACATTTAATTTTTGTTCCTTAAAACTATTCTTACTTTGATTTATAAAAAAGCTGTTCTCAATAGAAATGATGTAAAAAATAGATTTTATTATCGCATAAGTGCCAGTTTTAAAATCCAAACATAACCCGTTACAAAAGCGGTCGGATAAATTGCGAGTAGAGCTAAACAGTATGGTAAATACATAAGTAAATAAACAAATTCCCAATTTAGTATATAACTATTTAGATATTAAGTTTGGACCTGTTATTCCTTATAAAGCTAATAAAAATCACTATATATTTTATTTTTGAACTCGTAGTGTTCTTGAATTTTCCAAATAATTTCAGAGATAGAATTCTAATCAAATGAATTAACGAATCAACGAATGGCAGTTACAGATTGAATTAAAAATTTAAATAGTAACTCAAAATAAAGAATCAAGAAAAACAAATGTGTTTAACATTTTGAATATAAACATATTTAAAGTGTATATTATTATACTTTACACTTTCCTATTTTTAATTTTTTATTGAAATATGCAGTTAACTCATTGAAATTGTGAACACGTAGTCTCCCAAAGGATTTAAGCAAACCTAACGTGGTTTTCTTAAGAACTTCTAATGCTAATATGGTTATTCACCAAGTATTTGCCTAGTGTTGTAAATCAAGCTATTTTTTCAACCAAAAAAAATCAAGATTTCTTATGCCTCTAGTTTTACTTTTAATTCAGGTTTTATTTGAATTAAATTAAATTGGAAAGAAAACGTACAATACCAATCTTGAGATGGTAATTTTTGCAGTAAATCGGTGATATATTTGTATGTAATATGTATAAAGTACATATGTCACTCAAAGCCTCAGTTTTATTAAATTAAAAATTATTTGCAAATTATACTACTTCAAAAAACTATAGATTAAAAAAGCATTTCATGATCTCATTAAGTATTATATTTTAAAGTGCTTCACTAAGAGTTTTTCAATTTAATTTTAAAATATATTTATCATCATTTAATTTATTTAATTATATCTTGAAATAAATATAAAAATTCAATTAAAAAGTGCAAGTGCAAATATTCTGATAGTAAAATTAAGAACTCAATTGTTATTGAATTATTACAATATTGAGTAATCAATTAAATCGTTTATGAACAAAGGACACTGTTATTTATTAAATCAATAAATTGATTTTCACAAAAATTTTTATTATGAATTGATTATTATTTTTTCTTTGTTAAAAAGAAAATTGATTTTTCAAAAGTCACAAAAGAGTGCTTTACTTGTCATTCTTGTATCAACTTCGTTTGAAATTGGTAAAAGATTGATTTAGATATTTTATTATTCTCCTATAATTCTATTTCTGCTTATAATTGAGTCCAACAGAGTGAGTAACCACCTTGAAACACTATAATCTCTTGAGAAATAAAAAAGGAAAAAAAAATTAAAGAGGGATAGAAGGGTTAATCTTTTTGCCAGTAAGACTTATTTCTTTATTGATTTAGACGAAGTCTACCTAATAATATAAATATCTATAATTCCAAGATCAGATCTAATTATTTCGAAGACCACTGATGATGGGTATTTCAATTAAATTCTAAAATTCAAAAATTAATTACCAAAAATTCAATTAATGAAAATAATATACAATGAATTTATGTTGTTGTGTTCACTACTGTTCGAAAAACCTATCTTTAATTCTGCAATATTTTTGTGATATCATTAGATCAAATTCAATATATTAAAAATTATTATCATAAAAAGAGAAGAATACTTTTTTATATAATATAACAGATAAAAAAGAGATTCCATAGTTGTAAAAACCTAATTATTTTTTTATATGGTATTTCAAAAAATATATTTTAAGTTTTTATGTTCAAAAAAGTCATACCTGTATATATATAAATAATTTATTTAATATTTGTTTTATAAGTAATCATTATTTAATATTAAATAATTTTATATAGGAACAAAATAATTAATTTAAAAAAATCAGATTAAATTTAAAAGAGTTTTAATTGCTTTCTTTACAATATCTCTATAATAAATATAAATTCTTTGTTGTTCGATAAAGTCAACATCTAATTAATTCATTAATATTTATTGGTGTATATAAATTTGATGATTGTATTATTTAAGTGAACTCGGAAACCTATAAGCTTCACAATTAATTGTATTGTAAAAAGTAAAACTAAATAAATAAACATATTCGTTAACAATTACGCCAGTTTGTGCGTTTCATATTCAATAGTTTTACTTATTCCAAGTAACTAATTTATTTGTCAATTTCACTTTTGAAACATGAAATGCGTTTAATGTAATTTAAGCAATGACTGGCACGATATACTTACGTATATAAATAGCTTGTCGAAACGTTTTGTAATAAATGTACATTAAATCATATTTCCTGTGAAATATCATAAACATAAATAAAGTTATAATTAATAACGTTAGGTAAAGGTCTATTTGACCTTAGATATAGACAGAGTGCGTCTATTTGATGCGTAATTTTGTGATAATACTAACACCTTTTTATTTATTAACAAAATAATAAAAAAATGCATTAATAACATATCCGAAAATTAGTGATTGATTTGTGCATAAATTAATTAGATAAGTTACTTTTTAAAAATATCTAACTGAACCGAATCCACCTACACTCGTTGCATACGTAATATGTGTAGACTTATCAATTTCCTGAAAAACAGTTGAAAGCGTAAATTTAAATATAATATTTACTTCGAATGACGCACAAACACCCAAAATTGTTACTGATGCCTATTTTCTATTTGATTACTGATGTGTGTTGCCAATTTGGTTTAATAAAAATAGTCGTAATTTGCTGCTTCTCATACCTCAAATGTGAAATTCATTATCTCTTTTCAGGAGGGAAATTGTGAATCTCTTCCCAAATACATTGGACGCACTAATGCCGCTGGCGTTGATTTGAATCGTGATTTTCCTGATCGGCTAGAAAATGAACAAGTTATACAATTGCGTTCACAAACCCGTCAACCAGAAACTGCGGCAATCATTGAATGGATTGCCAGTAAGCCATTTGTGTTATCAGCTAATTTTCATGGTGGTGCCGTAGTTGCAAGTTATCCATATGATAACTCTATGTAAGTTCCTATCAAATATCGAATTTATGTATTTATGTATATTAATAAGTTGTAATGACGTAAGTTCACGTTTTAGAAAGTGTAACTGAATGTACGCGTTCATACGAGTATATTCGTAAAATTTGTAAAAACAGCTACAGAAATGAATAAATGGTTCAGTAGAGTAACTTTGCAAACAATATACAAATGTTCAAAATTAGCATAGATACTATAATGTATTAAATTTTTTTTTTAATATTATTAAAAGCAAATTTATTAGAATATTAAGACTAATAAGCTTACATTAACTAAACTAAATCACTAAACCAAACTACCACCCTAAATTACATTAGGGTGGCCCTCAGTTGTAAGGGAAATTTTTTTTTTTGTGATAAGATTGATTATATCATTTCCTAAGAGCTAGTACAACGATAAAATATGCACGTCCTAAATTAATTTTAGAGCGTTTCGAAAGGTCCTTGAAAGTAGTATATATCGAATTTATACAATTTTGAAACGAGGAACATAATTTCTTAATAATTTTCAGTTGCTTGGAAGGTTTCAAAGATATGGGCTGTAAGAAATGAAAATTTATCAAATACTTTGAACAAATACTTTGATTTATTAACTACTTGCCTGTGTAAGGAATTACATATGATTATTACATAAATATGATAGGTAATTCTTTTGTCCAAAAATAAAAACAAATCGTATAAAGGGATGTAAAATTACAATATATATTTTTAGAATAAAAAGCAAACATTAAGTATAGTTAAGTAACCTTTATTCTAGGTTTGTTGTCTTTAAAAAATTCTATTTATACCAATTGTTTTTTAAAACCAACTTAACCAACTGAATATACTTTAAGGTGAATATTTAAATTCCTAAATTAATATTGTAAATTTTGAATTTATTTCAAAAAACAATTGTTATAAACATTTAACAAATTGTTTAATTCATTTTTATTTGTAGTATAAATTCATTAATATATATCTTTTATTCAGTAAAAGTACATAAATAAAAGTTGAAATAATATTGATTTAGAAATGTATTGCTCTCTTAGTTATTCGAACTATTATGGCATATGTATTTTATGTAAAATGTTTTTAAATATTGCTTTAAAATCATTATTTTATGTAACTAATGCCCAACGCAGATGATATATTTTTTTTGTAAAAATATACTATAATTTTGAGGAAACCGCAAAACTTCAGCTGATTGAAATTTATGGAACTGTGGATATCATTGCCGTTACGTTTTGCGGTTGTTGTCTGCAGTGGACATAATATAAAAGTCATTACAATTTAATTCAAAAAGTACATAAATTACAATACATACTACTTGTAACTGAAAATTTAAAATAACATTTATATATAATGCATATTTTTCCCTTCACTTTAATTTTTAACGCATGTGCAACAAATGCCAAATGTAAATGTTGGCTTGTAGTGCTCATCATGAATGTTGTGAAGAGAGCCTAACTCCAGATGATCGCGTATTTAAGCTGATGGCGCATACATATGCTGATAATCATCCGATTATGCGTCAGGGCAATAATTGCAATGACAGCTTCTCAGGCGGCATAACGAATGGAGCAAACTGGTACGAACTGAATGGTGGCATGCAAGATTTTAATTATGCGTTCACAAATTGCTTTGAACTTACAATTGAGTTGAGCTGTTGCAAATATCCATTGGCATCGACACTACCAACCGAATGGGCACGTAATAAGCATAGTTTGTTACAATTGCTAAAATTGGCTCATATTGGTGTCAAGGGTATTATAAAAGATGCTAGCGGTTATCCAATACAAGATGCTACAGTTGTAGTATCCGGTTTAGAGGATAAACCAATACGTACAACTCGACGCGGTGAATATTGGCGTATGTTGACACCAGGCATTTATAATATACAAGCTCAAGCATTTGGGTCAGTACTATTTATGTAAAAAATACTAATACTAATTTTAATTCATGAACTTTATATTTTATTACATATATTTTATTTTTAGATATCAAGCCAGCGTTCCTCAACAGATTCAAATTACTAATGATAACACTGAAGCTCTTCGCATCGACTTCACATTACTACCAACTGAAAATAATTATGATGGTATAAGCAGTTTTTACAGTTCATATTTTTATAGACAGTAAAATATTTCGAGATTAATTTTATTCTTAAAATAATAGTATTTATTCATTGCAATCCTTATGTAGATTTTCACACACCTTTCTCACAACAATAAAATACATTAATTCATTTGAATGAAAAAAAAAAAAAAGAATTGTCAAAATTTAATCATATTTAAACATATTTAATATGCTTAACTTAACTTCACTAAACTAGTACTGAAATCACACTAACTCCACACTCACTATAACCATTACTCACTACTCACTATGAGCATTTAAATATCATATATCCACACAATATATATATGCTTCCGTAATAAATGCACCTTAACATTTTAGACAGTTTGCAGTGCAATCCCATGTCACTCCAATATTCACTTGCACATAAAACATATTCATCTCTAAGTATCCGTTTATGTTAGGCACAATTTATGTTCTCTTCACTATTCCAAATGCAATTGGTACTGTGCATTGGCACTAAATATTATACCATCACATAAATTGGTGTTTTAGACATTTTGCCAAATATCTATGTATCTATATATAATATATATGAATTATCATTTAAATTTAATGAAAATTGTTTTGTTATTATGTGTGTGTGTTTGTTGCGTGTATAAATATATAAATAAATAAAGAAATCTTATATATCTTTTGTGCAGTCTTCTTTTCTATTGTTTAAATTGTTTTAATTCTATATACATATATATTGTTTTTAATTTACTTTTTAAAGGATCTCATTTTATTTTACGAATCGTTGCTTATAAGTTATTTAAATAAATATTTATGTTTTTTAATACTAGGTTCAAAGTTTTAGTTTCTTTATAAACATCTTAATGATGGTTGAATTCTGTTTTATAAGATTTTATGTCTTAAAATTGCTTAAATCTAGTCCTTTTAAAGGTATGTATTTAAAAATTAGTGTAATAATGTAATGAGGAGACTATTTATAATTTATATTTTAAGTGCACTTTTTAAAGTATCTAATCAATTTATAAAAGACCTATCAACCACAGGTTACTATTTTCATTTTTTTACTGTTTTAAAAAAAAATATATTGAAATCATTTAATTATTATTTTTATAAAGATATAAAATATAAAATGTAATTTATTTATAAATTAATTGAATTGTAATAGAATGCTGTTAGTTATTATAATTTATTAATTTCTAAATAATGAGCTAAAACTCGATTTTAAAATTAGAAAGAAATCTATAGAATCGTTGCCTTGACTTCAGTTTAACGAGATTTTTTTTACTTTAAGCTATTTATATATATTAAATCCGTAATATATGATTTAATGAAACCTATTTGCCTTCTCTATGTGTTGCCTGAACCTTTGGGTTTCTGCTTCGTTAATATATAATAATTTTCTTAGTGATATGAAAAAAAATATTACTATTTTATTTTTCGAGCCATTATTTTATTAGTAGTTGGACGTTGGTTGGTTCTGTACTAATACTCAGTATTAGATATAGTGTTAGTTCAGAATAACCATATGATGCGGCGAAAATTCGGTTGACAAAACATTTCAGAAGTTGGACACTGTTTGCGATTATAAAGCTATTAATAGTATACATATTATATAAGAAATGAATCCATATTAAATATTTTCACATAGTTTTCTCAAAATACTTTTGTACTAAAAAATTAACAACAGTTATAATAAATCATTTTAAACTTTTTTTTAAAATTTTAACTTTATAATATATGATACAGTCAAGCTGAAGGCCAAACCAGCTATAGGTGAATTTAATTATGTAATTGAATTTGAATAATTATAATTAAAAGCATATATCTATATATTTAATAGTCGGTATAGAAATAGAAAAAATAGAAATTTAAATCAGTAATGTAGAAAATTTGAATTACTTTATTGCTAAATGAATTATGATTGAACTTTAAAAGTTACGATTACGTTTAAGAAAAATTATTTGATAACAAATTAAGTTTTTGAGCTAATGATTAGTCTACATAAGAACTAGAGATATACAGATGCAAATTTATACAATAATATAAAATAATTTAAATATTAGGCCTTTAAATATGTGTAAAGTATTTATTATATATATATAATATTTGCCATCATTTTTCATTTAAGATGATGATAAAATACTTCATTTCATTGTTAGTATTTTAATAGCACAAAAATACTGTCTTTATTTAGTATTCTGTAATAACAAATAAGAATTTTAAATGTATTATAACTCCATTTTTATATATTATATAGAGATTCTGTAGATGTTTAGTATCCTGAGCAAATGCTTAAGATCACTGTAATAACCTATTAGTTCATAATATAATTAGTTGTGATAGGTATTAATTTTTGAAGATTTCTTCTATAAATTTAATTCTTCTGAAATCCGTAAAGGATTGAATAAACATACAGCAGTTTCTTATATTGTATTTGTATCCATACTACATCAACTTTTAAGTATATTGTACAGATATAAATAAAATTTATATAAAAACTTGATAAATTTGCTTTAATATATATATATAGCATTACATGTTGAAATAAACTATAATAACTTTGTAGCATTTCTACTCTAAGAGGAATATTTATTTATTTAATGCGTTTGAAATTTTTTAATAGTAAACGATTTATAACATTTTACTGTATACAATCAGTATGTTATATATTTTTTAAAAATAAGTCATATTCATATTAAATTATAATTAGCAAAAATTTAGTTATTTTTTAATAATTTGATTTAGAAATTTAAAATTTATTAAGAATCAACAAAATATATAATGTTATTAAAGTTAACAGTTCAACTGCATTAAAAATTTTTATAAATAACTTTAATTGTTAATTATAATAATTGCTTTATGTACCAAAAGATGTAAAATTAAAATCGCTTAGTATAATTTTTAAAATATCAAAAAGAAGACTTTTCCTTGAAACAAAATCAAATATTTAAAAAGACCTTATATATAATTTCTTATATGTATATATTGTATGCATTATAAAGGAATTAATTTAAATATTAAAGACGTCTTTAGCTTGAAAGAAAAAAATATTATTAATACAACAGAATCGTTATTACTGTTTTTATTCTGCCATTAGATCAATTTACGGAAAAAGTATAAGTTTATAAAATTATAAAAACATAAAAGCGGTTAGAGACAACCATAACAACAAACCGTACAACTGCTATTTGGTCTACTAGCTACAATAGATAAATTAATTACTATACTTCTCTAAAATTTAGCTTTGATAAGATATGTATGTAAAGTCAATCTTTTTTAACTGAAACTTAACTAAATAACATTTATCACGTTAAGGCAATGATTTTGGGCTTTTCTACTGGAACTGTTACTATAAGAGTTACTATTGACTTTATCAAATGTTGTATTTCAATTATTTCATGCATCTTAGGTTATTATTATTGTCTAGTTTAATAGACTAGAAATAGACTATTCATATATATTCAATATTCTTTAGCTTCAATGAAATAAAATATAAGATTTTTATAATAACTATACCAAAAATAAATATTTATTTTATGTATAAATCAATGCATATACTTTTTTTGAAATATAATACTATATATATAACAGGTGTATAACAGCGGTTTAACAATGAAAATAAAAATAATAAAAGTAATATTATTATTATATTATCTGAAGTAAATAAAAAAACTTGATATGAGTAGTATTAATAATAAAAAATTTTGCAAACTATAGCAGACAAATTTCTTTTTGGTTCAATATATTATATAAATATTTTTTAATGAAAGCTTAAGAAAGTAAAGTTTAAGTTTATTTTATATACTTCTAATTAATTGATGGCTATTGTAAATGGAATCTATTTTTTTAATAATTTAATTTAAGAAAAACTATTTCACTTTATTAGTATACATATATTATATATAGTTTTTCATTTTTTTAAAATAAATAAATTTTATTTTAAATTTTTGTTTAAGCTGTGTTATGAAAATATATAAGATACATATTTTATTAAAATGATGTTTAATTTATTGTTATTATTATAGTATTTTAAATAAAAATTAATTTATTATTTTCTTCATAATTTATAGAATTAATCTCTTTTCTTATTATTTAATAATATTATTTTTATTTTCTGTTTGTTAAAAAAGACTTGTAATGTAGTGTTAAATAAATATCTATTTGAATGGTTTTCTTTTTATTTTATATATAGATAATACTTTATAAATTTTATTTTTCTCTTTATTAATTTTATTGGTATTTATAAATTTGTTGTTATAACTTCTAAAAACCGTCTGCAATGTAATGGAATATAAATGCCTCTAAGCTACAAATATAAAGAACAATTGATAATGATAATATTAATAATGATGATAATGATAAATGTATAATTTTTAACAAAATTTAAGATTTATTACTTTTTTTTTGTTCATTAACATAGCTTTTTTTTCTAATACATCACTTTTCTTATTTTTTCGTGGTTATTGTTATTATTTTGAAACGTTGTGTTATGCAATGCAGATAGCTACGATGTCAGTTTTAAAACCTATCCGTATGATGGATTTTGTTTCATAAATATTAAGTATATATTTGAAAATATGTTGCTTTAGTAAGTCTTATTATAGTATATATAATAAATGTTTTAATGACCTACAATATTGTCTTCTATCTCTCAAAATTATATCATAAAAAATTTGTTACCAATGCACAGATATACTATAAGTTCTACAGTCTCTTCACAATTCAACTTACACTAATCACTTAAAATACATACATATACTAATATTTATAATCACTTTATAATATCATTATAAATGTTGTTTATACTTAAAAAATATCTTTAAAATATACTACTAGTCATTTATAATATTGTTAAGATAATATATATAAATAAAATAAATAGAAAAAATATTATCAGCAAATATTAATCAAATTATATAATATATATAAAATATAATTATTATATCTTAATATTGTACAATTATAATTAATTTCATTTATTATATGTTACTGTAGCACAAATTGATAAAGAACTTATAAATATATTTTACTATATATATCTAAAATTTGTATTGTATTTTATATTTAATTTAAAATAAGTTATTGTAAAAAAAATATGAACATAAATATATTAATCAACAATTTAAACCAATTATTATATATTAAATTTTATCGATTAAATAAAATAAAAAGAAATCTTTAACAACTCGCAAGTTGTGGATTTTTTAATTAATTACTATTTTCGTTACCTATATAAAAATTTATTTTAAATAAAAATGAGTTTTATCCACTGTAGTTTTGAGAACTAATTGCAACAATTTAAATTATTTGTGGTTTTTACGAAACATATTTATTAATACGTTTTATTTTTTATCATTTAATTTGGTTTGGAAAAAGTTTCATTGGTTCGCTTCCATATAGTTTTGACATTATTTTGGTTTTGGTTGGAGTTGCATATAATCATATCATTTTATTTTATATTAAAATAATTAAATATCTAAACATTACTTTGGTTTTAACAAAACAAAATAATCTTTTTTAAAATTGGTTTTCGTTTGATTGCAATCACACATATCCATACAAAACCTTTCCTATTTATGCATAAACGCCTCTAGCATTTTGAATTAGTTTTGATTTTATATTATATAACCAATTTTCATATACCTACATCACCAAACAATTTTTTTATATATTATATAATTTTAGGTGATTTTCGTAAAATTAATGTGGAACATGCAGAATCATTAACGAAGCATGAAAATGATGGCTTCCTAACTCCAACTAAATACGAACATCATAATTTTACAGCAATGGAAAAGTTTGTATAAATTTTCATGATTTTTTTTTCAGTTAGAAAACGCAATTATAAATAGTAATTATAATACATATTAAGCTTATATAATGTTTATACTGTTAAAAGATATACCCCAAGTCTTATTAGACAAAATATGTACATCTATGTACATTTATTATACTACGAGTATTATACTGTTATACTGATTTAAGTTTTTAATATTTATATATGTGACTTATGAGCTTCTCAACCTCAAATATTTATAATGGACTCTATGTTATGTAATTAAAATTATTTCGGTTCAGTCTAGATTGACCTGGTCGACAATTACCTTGTAGGTTGCACTGAACAACAATATTTCCGATATTATTGTTCTCTTTTCGTAGATGTACCTTATTCACGTCCACTATCTCTTCTTGATTTCGTTTTAATCAAAATAGTGTTTGTCAACTTCAACAGATTGTCACTGGAGATTATTAATTTAATTTTATTATTAATATTTATAAATATATAACTTTTATTTATATCTACTCCACAACTAATATAACTCCCTGTTGTTGAACAGATAGTCGATCAGCTTTTCTTTAACTTAATTAAATTTTAAAACATACTTGATGTCTTTAATAAATTAGACAGATGTATACTTACTATGGAAAATAAATGTTGAATGACGCAACAGGCGAAAAGCATTGCACTAGAATCTTTGTAATTTTCGGTTTATATTATATGTCACTTTCCAGGTCTCAGAGCCATAGCGTTCAATATTTGGGAGATATCAAGTCTTCATTTGATGAAATTCATCCAAATGAAGGAAATAAAAAATAGTCAGTTTGAGTTAGTTCTAGAAAATAAGGGGAATGGATAATAAACTTGAAATGTAGTTTAAGTCTGAAAACGCAGAATTTTAGGTGGTGCATTCTCTTAGTGTGCCTTACTTGACTAAATACCAAATTAGTACAGCTTAGAAGCTTAATGTACGAATACCGTATGGGATATCCACAGATACAAGCTTTTTTTAAAGGATATGTTTCTAAGATAATAAGATATTTGCTAAATGAAACATAGAAAAGCCGTAGTTTTTTATTTCAGAGTAGCAAAAAAATATTCGCAACATACGAAAGAAAATATGTGAAGCAACTTGTCAAAAATTTCAAGTCTTAAGTTTTGGAGCAGCCAAATTCAAAAATCAGCCTATTGTGAATGTTTACTGTAAATATGTCGCAAAATTCCAGTTATCCGTTAAAAGCATATGAGCATTTCATTTACTAATAATTTTAAATATTTAAATAAATAAATAAATTTAAATACGGAAGATAAAAATACTTACCATTGCACTTCTAATATTCATTTTGTTTTCTTTTATTTAAATTAATAATTTTTAGTGTTTACAATTTTTATATTTCATATTATACACAACACAACCAAAAATATGGCACAAAAAAGCATTTAACATATTTTAAAAGTGATGCCAATTCGTTTCAACCAGACATAATGCTGTTTTTTTATAACTCTGAAAGACAAAATTACGGCTAAAGTAATTTTAAGCTGAATAGTATTTCAAATTTTAAATAATTACAAAAAAATTACCAAAGCAGATTCGATTTCCAAAAATCTAAGTTGGTTTAATAACATATTCTTCGGTATTATAATTTATAATCTTCGGTTTCTGCAGTTTTATCCTTCCTTAGTTTACAGTTCCTGTTAAGCTATTTCTTCTGCAAAAATGAAGTATTTGAATTTGGTTAAAACCAAATAACGAGAGTTCTTAATAGTGTTATGGACTGTGGATTTTGTAATTTTGCCAAAACTGTAGTGATTTTCAATTTCTGAAAAAAAACTTTTAGCAGAATATTTCTGATGTATCTTTCCCATATTTTTGTATCTCTCCAATATGCGTTTTCTATAAAAATTGAACAACGAAAAAGTAAAAAATATCATATATGTATATATGTTGTTTAAAAAATATAATTGTTTGTATACATTTTTTATTTTCACAAAGATTTATACGGAACATCGCTGAAAGTTATCCCACAATAACTCGGTTGTATTCAATTGGTAAAAGTGTACAAGATCGTGATCTTTGGGTTATGGAAATTTTCGTAACCCCTGGAGCACATGTACCAGGAATACCAGAATTTAAATATGTCGCCAACATGCATGGAAACGAAGTCATTGGTAAAGAAATGTTGCTCTTACTGACAAAATATATCTGCGAGAACTATTTAGTTGATCAACGCATAACAAAATTGGTTAATAGCACTCGTATGCATTTTCTATACAGTATGAACCCAGATGGGTACGAAATTTCAAAAGAAGGTGACAAATCCAGTGCTAATGGACGCTCAAATGCAAACGATGTTGATCTTAATCGCAATTTTCCTGATCAATATGGTTCTGATAGATATAATCGTGTAGCTGAACCTGAAGTTGTTGCGGTAATGAATTGGACACTTTCAATACCATTTGTATTATCTGCAAATTTACATGGCGGATCTTTAGTAGCAAACTATCCATTTGATGATAATGAAAATGACTTTACAAATACTCAATCTCGTTCGAGGATATCCAGTCTTCAGCACCATAAACTTAATCCAACGGAAGATAATGAGCTCTTTAAGCATTTGGCACTAGTTTATTCCAAGGTTTATATTTTTTTACGCCAATACATAGTTTTTGATTTAAGACATATTTTTTAACTATTAGGCACATCCTACCATGCACTTAGGAGATCCTTGTCCACTTTTTAGAAATGAGAAATTTCCTGAAGGTATAACAAATGGTGCGCAATGGTACAGTGTTACAGGTGGTATGCAAGATTGGAATTATATACGTGCAGGAGTTTTAGAATTAACAATAGAAATGGGTTGTGATAAGTTTCCAATGGCTGCAGAATTACCGAAATATTGGGCAGATAACCGTGAACCTCTTATATTATTTATTGAACAAATACAATATGGTGTACATGGATTTTTAAAAAGTTCTATTTCAACACCCGTTGTTGGAGCATCTATAACTTTGGATGATGCTAAGCATCCGAGTTATAGTTCTACATATGGCGATTATTGGAAATTGGCATTGCCAGGACGATATAACATAACAGTTGTTGCTGATGGGTAAGTTCATATATATTTTGTATTAACTGATTTTCTGTTTATTGTCTGTGCTCTTCAGTTATACACCACAACGTCAAGAAATTGAAATTGCAAATGACATAAATCGTTCAATGCGTTTAGATATTTTGCTTATGAGGAGTAGGTTTGATATTTTATTTTTTAAATTCTTATCTATACATTTGCTTTTTTATAATATAGATGATCCTCAACATTGGGCCTCTGCGAACGATTACCGAATAATTGAAAATGTTGTTCATACACGTTATCATACTAATCCTGAGATACGTTCACGATTGGCAGAATTTGAGACCCGCAATGGTCAGATTGCCACATTTGGTTACGCTGAGAGTGAATTTGGATTTTATTATAATTCCATAAAATTAACTTCAGATGTAAGTTGTGTTATTTTTTCAGTTATAAAACTAAATCGATGTTATATAATTCAATAGATCGGTGAACCGGAAGAAAGCAAATATAAAATTTTAATTTTAAGCTCACTATTCGATGCAGTATCACCTTTAGGCCGAGAAATAACTATGAACATGGTGCGACACATTATTGAAGGATATAACATTCGCGAGCCTGTAATTCTAAACTTATTGCAAAAGTCAATTATGTACTTTTTACCCACGACCGATAATTTTGGAAATATTTTTGATATGTATAACCAAAAGTAAGTAATGTTACATATTGGTAAATTGAATTTATCAAAATTAAATTATTGAACATTTTAATTTTTTTTTGTGTTTCACTACCTATCAAATCGATTTAAAGATATTATAATGATCAATTTTGAATACTTAATGTTATATAACTACTACATTTACAAAAAAATTTATAATTTTAGTAATACTATTTGCGATCCTGTTATTCCAAATGATTTAGCTGATAGAATATTAAGTCCAGAATCAGAGAAAAAACGGGACTTGTTTCTTCGATTTTTGGAGAATGAAAAATTTGATTTAATGATGACTTTTACCACCGGCAATAGTGAATTAAGGTAATTCAATAAAATATTTATGTAATGGGTTCACTTATATAACTAACATATTGATTATTTATTTAGTTACGTAAAAGGAGATTCAGTTATTAAAAAGATGGCTCATGATATTGAGAATACCGAATTTAGTCTATCACCATTGCAATGTGCTTCTACAACGACTCGAATGAAGCAAGGGGAGTCCACGGAACGATTAACAAATCTGTTTTATAAATTATATAATATACCAATGTTTACATTGGGCTTATCGTGTTGTCGTATGCCAGAACAAGACCAAATTGCTAAAGTATGGCAAGCAAATTTGGAAAAATTGAATAACTTCTTCGATTTGATTAACACTGGTGTACTTGGTGTGGTACAAAATGATAAAGGTGAACCTCTACGTAATGCCTTCGTACGATTGATTGATTCGAACCAAATGCATAATGTTACTAAAAATACCGCTCGTTTTCAACTTATACTACCAGCTGGTACTTATGGCATAGAAGTTGGTGCTTATAACTTTGAATCACATATAGAGAGCATTACTATAACAAAAGGAAAAATAACGAATATGAATATAATCAAACTTAATGCAATAACTTTGTTAACTGGTCATAGTGAAGTACATCAATTGGGTAGTTTGGGTGGAGGTGTGGCAACAGTATCTGGTTTCGTTTTAGATGTGTCAAATCATCCAATACCGAACGCCAAAATTTCTGTAATAGAACCGCATACAAAACATTATGTACGCAATTTTACAGATAGTTTAGGTGCATACAGTCTTAGTAATGTTCCTGCGGGTTATGATGTAACGCTTAAAGTAGAAGCTCCACGACATATAGATACTACAAGGGTAGTGCATGTTGGTACGACAGGAGCGCCTATACCTGGTATAGTGTTTCGTTTAAAAGTTAATGAACATATTATGGGTATGCCGCGTTTGCTCTTTATAATGATTGCAAGTGTCCTTATAATTGTTTGTGTGGTTGGTTGCATTCTTTGTGCACAATTTATAATGTCGAGGCGGAGACAAAATGGTGATCGACGTTATTATAATTTTTCATTACTGCCGCAAAAGAGTAAAGAATTATTTGAAGATGAACTTGGTGAAGATGGTGAAACAGAGCTTTTTAGATCGCCTATCAGAAGTAAGTTATACATGTTTTGTTTTTTTATAAATTTTATAAATTTATATATATAATGCAATAATTATAATAATTTAAATTATAAATGTTATCTATCACAATATTATTATATATTGAATTTTTTATATACAAATAAGAATGATAGTTGCTATAATAGATTTATATAAAAAATATATTTAAAATATAACTACAATTAAAAGTGAGAACTACTGATATTATGTTGTTACGGAAATTTCGATTATGCGTAGTCGTTCGAAATCACTGGATCCTGAAAAACAATTAAATAGTCGACTCTTGATTCGTCAACATAACATTTTTTTTAGTAATAATTAATATAATACGATTTATTTTTTTATTTACTGTCATTCTTAGAAAATTATTTCTAATTTTAATGAGTTTCTATTTCGTAATAATATATTATTGATCATATTAATGATCAATAGTAATATAATTTATTTAATTTATTTAACAAACTACTGAATCTAAATTTTCTTCAACAAAATAATATCCGAAAAAGTTTTATATTTATTTGTATTCTTGGTTACTTCAGTATTTTGTAATATAAATAATAAAGTGTGAATCTTTTCTTCGTGCATATCTTTACTAAACCAACAGTTAAGATCATATAATTGTATCAATGTTGTAAAACAAAGCTATCCAAACCAGACCAGATAAGATAAGATCGGGCCCATACAAATCACTAAATAGATTGTAAAAAAAAATACGACGATAATGTTAAGTTTTGTCTTAATAATTCTTCATTAATTTATCTTTTAAAATTCTACCAATATCAGCATTATTAATATTAGTTGGATACAAGTTTTTTTTGAACCGATTGTACAAAGAAATATATACTATAGTCCTTGTCAATTAAGTAAATTAACGTGAAGTGTAAGAAATTATTTAAAACATTCATTTATATATAATGTAATGTAATGTAAAAATATAATGTTATTCCTGGGCCGAATGAGGCTCATGGAACGTGCTTTGGACATCCCTGCTGTCAAAAGTCGGATTTACATTAACTGAATTTAGAATAGACGTTGTAATATAGAAACTATTCGACACAAATTGTATTATACAAATTTAACTAAACTATAAGAATTAAATAAGCAAACAATTTTTATTAATAATAGAAGCAGCTTACATAAATAATTTCCCATCATTTAATTAGAAATAGATAATTTTGGATTGTTAGAGATTTTAGAAACCATAAAACTGTACGTGAAATTCAAAAATATTGACAAAGTAATTAGTTCTTTTTTAATCACACTACAGTTAAAGTATAGACTTGATTTTTTTTTACAACATTCTTCTACCTCTACCTTAGATCACATATCCTGCCACTGATTTAATTGACTCGTCTGATTTTCTGGGAGTTCAGTTGGATATTCAACTTTGTATTTTATACCAAAATTATAATATTAGCAACTGTTTTATTCTTATAATAATTACTTTATGCACTTATTTTTATAAAACTAATAGAATTTCAAATAAATAACGCATATATAAAATATTTTATAATATATTTTATTTATTTTTATTTTAGAAGGCATGTCAATTAAACCGTATTACGATGAGGATAATATTAAACAAGTCATCAATACTGATGACGAAGATGAATTTAATGATGACAGTGGCGACGAAATAATCATGCTGGATAAACGACTACATTAACTGTGATTTTATTTTAATTTAAAGTCTTTTTATACAATGTGTATATAAGTTTTAAACTAGAACATTAAAATAAAAAAATTTAACTGTAAAAAAATTTAATTGATAAAATTGAATCAACAAAAGCTTTAAAGATTTAAAAAAGCATCACAAAAATTTTTTTATTTTAAATTTATTAATTTAATTTTTTTACCATTTCTTAATTTTTAAATTATATTGACTATTGAAATTTGATGCTTGCTATTAATTATAATTATTAAATATTTTATTTTCTAAATGCCTATATATTACTTTGACCATTTCCAAGTTTATTTATAAAGTAATTAACATGTGTGTAAGAATCTCATTATAAAAACTTTTATACTATATAGAACAGTTACCAAAAAAAAAATTTTTAATTAAAAACAAATTTTATGTTTGCATTTTTTTAAATTTGTGCTAAAGAATTTAATTTCGGAAATAATAATATATGTTAAAAATACCATATAGTAATAATATGAGAAGAAAATATACTATAATTGTATGTATTTATTTAAATTAGTGCAATTCAATTTCTATTTGTGAATTTAGCAATTATTTCACAATAGATATAAATATAGACTTAGGAGAGTGTTAATTTAAAATCAAAATATATTTATGTATATTTATACTACCGTTGTAAACACTTGGCTGCTTATTATTAAAACATTTTGTATTAAAATTTTACGGCAATTTAAACCTTAGTAGTGTATTTAGAGTTTTATTCGTTTTAACTATATATATTTTAAACGAAATATTTTGTTAATAATTTTTACATAGTAGTAAGAAATATACTATTTATTTGTATTTTATTTAAATTAAAAAAATACGTCCAATCAAAATAAAACTTGAAAATACAAAATATACAAATTTAATTAGTTTATATTTTTGTGTTTTTAATTTGTTTATCTTGAGCAGTTAAATGACAGCTTTGTGGGGATTCGTATGGCCTTTCTTAAATTCTATATAGTCACATTTTAATAAGACGGTTATGCTGAGCATTTAATGGCGTCATCATTTATTTTAATGACATTTCACGCACGTCTACCGCTATACCTTATTACTTAAGGCTATAGTTTAAGTCAGGTCATTACAGTTAACACTATACCTTTTTAACGACAGTGTTTGTTGTTATGTAGCCTAGGTTAGGCTCAAGTAGAGATGTAGCGTGGCTCCGTGACGTAGTACCAGCTACTTCTGCAATCATATTATTTGTTATTTCTGAAAAGTGTTAAGTTATGTTAAAGTTTTTTTGTTATTCACAGTATAACGAAACGAAGTTTTTTAAAATGAACTTTTAAAGAGATAAAAAGATTTTGTATTTTTTCCTTAATTGGAAATATTGTTCGCGTTTTTAGAATAAAGAAATTGCTTTAATGAAATGTTTAAAAATAATCTTAAAAATAATTTAATTTAATATATGAATTTTAAATATTTCAATTACAATATTTTTTCTAAATTAATGTATGTGTATGTTTTTTCACCCAGTGCAAAGAAACTCTATTAATTAATCAACTCATTAATTATCCGTTTATTTAAAATTGACAAATTTATAAAGTGAAAATTAACTTTTACTATTGTAGCACCTCAAACTTTTGACTTCAGCGAAAAAAAAACATCTCTAAAAGCGACTACTTTTAATACAGTAGTAGAAGAATTTAAATTCTTTAACTTGGGAAATTTTTTTTAAATTCTAACAAACATAGTAGGTAATTACAAAATTTCAATTGAGTATGACTTCAGAAAATTAGCAAATATTTAAAACATGATATTCAGTACTCAATAAATTTAATATATATTTCTATTATTATTTAATAATTTTTAATAAATTTTTTTTACAAAACAAAATATATTTCGTTAACAGATTAAATTTACGAGTACGTCTTCACTAAACGATCATTTGTTGACTGCCGATTATCATTTAAAAATAATATGCCATTGGGTGTGATTTGTTTTCTTTCATTAAAAAAAATTCAATCTTATCAATATTCCGCATTCTGCTATGAATTAAGGTTTTAATGAGGAAAGGTTATCAGCTGTTTAAATTATCACTGGAATACCCATATCTCAGTTATGTTGTTTAATATTCGTATAAACGAGATAGGTTAGTCAACATAAGCATCAATAACATCAAATCAGTGCGATTAACGTCAGCGAAGTTGTATGTCAATTTTGAGCTTCAAATAAATAAAAGTGAAAACTAGATTTTTTTCTTTTAAATATATTTTTAATAAAATAATTTAAAAAAATACAGTAATGTGGAAAAGAGTTATATCTGAATCATATAAACATAGAAATCAAGTTGGAATATGTTCGCGGAGATTTTATGCTAATACTCAGAGTACCAACAGTTCGACAATGACATTGGGTATCATTGGGATTCCGTTCTCAAAGGGACAGAGTAAACAAGGCGTTGAAACAGCACCGGATTTTTTACGAAAAAACGGTTTAATTAATATACTAAATGATGTTAGTCAAGGTAGGAAATAAACTTACCTTCATAAATGCTATCCGCTGCTGTATAATTTTAAGTTAATTTTTCTATTTTATTTACAAATTTTAAAATACACAGGCAATTTAAAAGTTAATGATTATGGCAATTTAGAATACGAAAAAGATACTGATACTAAATGTATAATAAATAATTGCAAAAATTATCCGGAATTTATGGGTTGCAATAAGGCTTTGATTAAACAAGTTCAAGAAATTTTAAAAGAAAATGATCAGTTTCTAGCGCTAGGTGGTGATCATGCAATTGGCTTTGGTAATATAATATAAATTAATAAAAACAAAAATTTAATAATTTTATTTAAAAATTAGGATCTGTTGCGGGACACCTACAACATACGCGAAATTTGTCACTTGTTTGGATTGATGCTCACGCTGATATTAATCTGCATTCAACTTCTGAATCTGGTAATATACACGGCATGCCCGTTTCATTTTTACTTCAAGAACTACGTATATATTGGGAAAATGCAAAATTAGATAAAATTGCACCAGTTTGGTAAGTCGAACATTTACTTTCTATTTGTAAAATAATTCCTTCAAATATATTGCTGCATATGCAATAGTAACGCTATGGGGTTAAATATATTGAAGCATATATTTTCTTACCTAAAAAATTGATATATAGTTAAGTTTGGAGAAAAAAAAAAACTAAAAAATATTTGTGTATCAGTTTTTTTGAATATTGAATTATAAAAATAGTTTATGAAAAATTAAAAAACATGACCTAGCAACAACTCACTTTATCACTATCACCAACATTGCCAAACGAAACTTAAAAAAGTTTTTCTTCATACGACAAAGAATCATGTAACAAATCAATTATTTTCTATATATGAACAATAATTTTTCAGCTGAAAAAATTTGTTCTGAAATTTGTTTTTTGACGTAAAATCTAAAGCACACAAATGTTTATAAAAATATTTTAATTTTCGATACTCATATAACAAAGGTGCGATGTGATATTTTATATCAAAAATTTAAGTCATTCATATCACTCAAGAAAATATGTGGTATATATGATCTCTAACTTTTCCTTTGCTACGTTAAAAATATCTTAATAAATCTAAATTAAACAACTCTCGAAGATTTAACAAAATTAATTTTATCTGAGCAATTATTATATATAATATTTATAATGCTAATAAAGTTGCTAATGATATTATGTGTATAACCGTCAAATATAATAACTGATACATATACCAACAAATATAAGAAATTGTATTCCATCAGGACGACGCCAGATCACACACATCGATATTGATGTGTGCTCGCCAAAAGTTTCGTGAGCTTGGTTGGGAAGTTCTTATGCGTCTACCTTATAGTCAAGACCTGGTACCATATGATTACCGTCTGTTCTTATGTTCCCGACCATGGCGAACGATTATTCTGGTGTAAAATTTGCTTTAAGAGACTTGCTTTAAGAAAATCGACTGTCTCAATTTTTAGCCAATAGGTACGTGAACTTCTTTGAGTGAGGCATAATGACATTACCTTCAAAATGACAGAAGTTATCGAACGAAACGGCACATATTTGACCTAAATCGGATCATTATAACTACACACCTGTTATAAAGATATTAAATGAATATAAATATTTACAATATAAATAAAATTTACTATTTTAGCAATATTTATTCAATAACGGCTCTATATCATATTTAAAAAATGTGCTCCTCCTCTGATAATTTCGAAATTATTCGTAGTGTTTATAATTTCAAGTGTTTATTTAGATTAGTTTAGGTGTCACAAATATGTTACTTTGTGATTTCCACGGGAAAATAGTAAAGTATTTATTTATTAAACCAAAAAAAAGTTGCAACAATAACAACTAACAAAGTATAAATTTTATATCTTCGGACGTTACCTAATTTCTGAACATTTTAATTTGAAATATAGGAAATATTATAATAAAGGGCATTTTCCATATTTCATAATCGTCTAATTTAATGTAGATAAACGATCGATATTTTAAACTGAGTACTTTATAGATACACTTCCCGAAAATTATACAAATTAAAGTTTTTACTGTATAAAAATTCGTATAACAAAAAATACTGGTTGTATTCAATTAATTTTTAATGTCTAGTGTTATTCAATTTTAGCTATGTTATATTTATTTATTTACAAAACTTATTTTATGTCTAAAGCAAATTATTAACAATTTTTTTTTATCAAAAAAGTGATATATCACTTTTTATCATTTGTCCATCCATTCTGCGTCAAAGTGGAGATCGAGAAATACAATTATTTGTATTTTTATTATTGACTTCCATTATTTAATAAATTTATAAAAAAAAAGGTTGTTTTCATAAAATTTTTATTAAAATTTTTCTAAAAATATTTTATCACAAGGTATTACAAAAATATTTTATGTATATATATTAAATATCTTATAACTAAATGCAATATTTTCTCAGTCTCTGTAGTGCTTAGTATTAATAGGAATTATATACATACTCGTAAATATAAAATAATTTGATTCCATTGTATGTGTTCAGTCTCTTTGATGTTTAAATTTTGAAATAAATAATGTAAAATTATGTTAAAACTTAACAACTAATATTATTTATATATTACATTTGTCATTTGCAAAATCTAAAATAAAAATATATACGAATATTAAAAATTAAAAATATATACTTAAATATATAAATATTAAAAATATATATATATAAAATGTTAAATATTTTAAAAATTAATTAATATATGTAATAAAAAAAAGTTGATAAAAAATGAAACGCAATATGTTGAAAATCCAAAATCAACTTTAAACATAAACGTAATTTATTACTAAATTAATTTAATTTACACCAAATGTAAAAATAAATATAATGTACACTAAAACTCAAAATAATATACACAAACTATCTGGATCGTAGTTGCTCAGCGTGTTTTTAATATTAGTACCTCAATTATTTAAAATAAATAAATGAAAAATCAAATTAAATCAAATTTGTTGTTAATTTTTTCCTATGTAACTAAAAAACAAAAATAATTATATTTAAAAATTAAGAAATGTGTTAAGAAAAGTATCGTAACGTAATAATTATTATCAATAATTGAAAAAAATTTTATAATTACGTAAAATTTTATTTATAATAATAAATTTAATTAAATTATACATATTATTAAAAAAATTAATAAATTGAACTGTATGTATTATATATAATATTAAACAATTTAAAATTAATACATTTAAATAATAAGACACTTAATATTTTAAAACCAACATAAATATATTATAAATATAAATATATTATAAATATAAATATATTATAGATAATTAAAAAATTATATTAATAAATTAAAAATTTATAAAAATATTAAAATTGAAAAAAAACACATAAATATAATAAAAAATTAAAATATTAATGTTAAAATTAAATATTTAAAATTGTTAAAATCATAGCACCGAAAATGTAAAATAAAGTATTAATTTAGAAAAATAAAATAAATAAAAATAATGTTATAATGTTATTATTAAAAATTATAATTATTTCAAAAAAATAATGTTAATATAAATATATATAAAAGTAAAAAGATAAAAGTGTAAAAAAGACAGAAAATCATAAAACATATATATTAGTTTCACAATAAAAGTTTATTAATTATACAAACATTAGTTAACGAAAAAGTTTGGAGCAAAATTGTAATCAAGAATAGATTATATATTAATTAAAATAATAAATATAATTATTATAATTTATAAAAATATTAAAATAATTTATTATTAAAATTAATAAACTAATAATAGTTGAAGAAAAATTAAACAATAATGAAACTTTTTGTAGTAAAAACTTTATTAAATTAATAAAAATTAATATTATACCAATTCAAAATTATTACAAATTTTTAAAAAATTAAGCTAAATAGAAAAAAGAAATTATAAAAATAAAAGCCAAAAAAATGTAAAATTAATAAAAATGAAATGTGTATTAAATTAAATTAAAATAAATTGAAATTGTTCATAAAATTTGAAATTATAATGAAAATAATAATAACATTTAATATTATATTAAGAGTAGAAAAAAGAAACTCTTGTTTTATTAATTAAAAAATTATCAGCAATTTCGCAATTTAAAAACTAAATAAAATTGTAACAATTGAAATAATATTTAATAAATATATATTTTGATAATAATATATTATTTTAATAAATAAAATTTAATATTGGTAGTACCGATGAAAAATCTGAATAACAAAACCAAAAAAAAAAATTTGTTTTAAACATTTCAATTATTCTTTAATTGTTTATATAAACTTAACATGAATAAGTTTAAATAATATGATAATAGAAATTAAAATGATTAAAAATAAAGCGTATTAAATATAAAAAAAAAAAATAATTAAAAATCAAGCTCAAAGAACAAATTAAAAAAAGTTATTTTAATAAATAGTCATAGAAAAATTTTAAACATAAATACAAAATAAAAATTATTGTTCTTATATATGCTGTAGTAATCAGCAGAACAAAAATAAAATAAAATAAAACAGTATATAAAAATAAATATATTTAAATAATATATAGAATAAATAAAAAATAACTAATAGATTACTTCAAATAAATGATATAGTAAGAAAATAAAGTAATTGTATTCAAATATAAATTACATCAACGTTAGAACAATAATTAGAAAATTAAAAATCAATTAAAATTATTTGTGAAACTTAATTAACAATATGAAATCAAATTATTTAAAATTTTAATAAATTTTAATGAAAAACCGAAGTATGTAAAAAATAATTATCAAATAAGAGTAAAAGCTTCTAAGCCTTTAAATATAATTTATTTTCACAAAATATTTATTGTTTCATAATAGAATAATTATAATAATAAAAACATTAAATCGTATTAAAACATAATTATAAGCGGATGAATAATAATAAAAAACGAACCAAATTTTAGCAGGTTTCAGTTTATTGTTGCCAGGCGGTTTACGATCTATGTATGTTCATCTAGTATGGAATTCTAAAAACGTCTTGAATATATCGTTTTCAATGATTGCTTATTATGTTCAGGCTGGGGATTAGGCATAATAAATACTGGTCTTAAAAACACTCCTATTTCAATAAGCTTTTATATATATTAATCCTTTGTTAGACTTTCGTTTTTCATGCTTTATACGTTTGCATTGGATTTCTCATTTAAATTCGGTTTCCATAATTTCTTACGTGTCTGGCTAATTGTGGCAGTTATTTGTTTTTACAATAGCTTATACTATAATAATAAATAATATCAAAATAATATATCATACTCGTATAAAACAAATAAGGAAATATAAATAACATAGTAGGGTGTACAAAAATTATTTTACAATGCAGTGTTAAATTTGTGTAAATTATATGTATATTCTTTATAAGATGAAATTTTATGGAACGACACAAGATAAAAAATTGAACAATTTTTTGATTCTTTTGATTCTTAAAAAAAATTGAAAATAAATTAAATCATTAAGTATTGCTTTTGGTAATATGTGCGGAACTTTATTAATAATA